AGAAACGATGTACAAATGCGCTTTACACAATTGATGTGTGTATGGATTGGGATAACAGTTGTATGAGCCCCTAATAAAATGTTAAAAAAGGAAAAAAAAACAAAAAACAATTCACTGTGGACAGAGTTCCTCCTGAGCCCACTCTTCATAGATGCGCACAGCCAATGGGTATATTTTGTGGGCTCTTCCGATCCTTCAAATGGGATCGCTTATGCCTAATGTTAGGCCTTGTCCTCGTTCCACGTGCTGTTGCCTCACCAGCGACGTGGGCCTTCTGGGTGGCTTTTTCACACCCCGCCACACGACAGACACAGAGTCTTCTAAGAAAACTGGCGCTGACCCAGCAAGTCTGTTCGAGCCAAAAGGCGAGTGAAGGGGAGTGGAAGTCACCCATTTCTTTCTGCTTCTCACGGCCTACGGTCTTTTTCTCTCTAGATACTCACAGAACATACATCAAGTGGACCATTTCCACATACCTCACGCACATCTGCGTCCTCTCCAGGACACTGCTGCTCTGCCTTGCTTGTCTTAGAGTCCTCTGTGTTCCTACCTGGGGCCTCACCCCTACCTGCCCCCCAGCCCAGAGCTGGACAAAGAATAGATGCTAAATGTTGACTGAACGAAGGTCATTAGTGTGAAGCAGATTCGAGCCCCAGCTGAGGAGAGCTAGTCCCTCCTCATAGATGAAGCAGTGTTTAAATTAGCTGAGAAAATGGGAATAGCCCGGGTGAGTGGTGGGGCCGGGATGAGTTTGCTGCTGCTTCCAGGTGAAGCCTGCCAGGTAGCAGGAAAACTAGGTTCTGGTCGCTGGCAGTCTTGGTGGAAGAGAAACACCAGGGAGCCATCAGTGGTGAGGTGAGCTCCCCCAGGGAGCCAGAGAGGGACCCCTCCACCAATGGAGCAAGTGTAGGAGAAAATATGCCACGGAGAAGTCAGAGGGAGAAAGGTGGCATCAAGGGTCAGAGGTGGCCAGGTTGGGAATTTCAGTGTCCCTTGGATTTGCATATCAGGGGGCCATTGGTGACCTGTGTCAGATGCGCTTCGGTGTCGTGGTGGTGGGAGCAGAACACGAGATGACCCTGGTGTAGAGACAGGGCATCTTCTAGAGCAGCGGTTCTCAACCTGTGGGTTGCGACCCTTTTGGGGGTCGAACGACCCTTTCACAGAGGCCCTGCTACATGCCGGCTTCCCTGGGTCGATCCCAGATGGCTAAAGAAAGGTGCTCAGCCGGGCCCCTCCTCTCCCACATCGGCCCAATTGCTGGTTGGCAGGAAGGCTTAGCTGGGAGCCGGTACCGGTGGTCTGCAATTCTGTTCTGCTCACTTTACCCTGCTTGCCCAGCATGTTCAGACATGATTTAGGAAGGTCTGAGCTCTGTGATACAGAAGGGCCCTCGCACCTGTGGTTACAGATGGTCAGTCTTTCAGTGGATACACTGCACCATTAGCAGCCTGAAATGAGGGCCAGGCAGGGGCTTACGGGGAGATAAACCCTTGGTGGGACACCAGATCCTGCCACCTGTACCATTTACACAGCAAGCCCATCTGAACAGACCAGGGTACTCCTCACATACCTGGTGAGGGCATGAAGAAACAAACAGGAGTATGGAACATCCAACTAGTTGCAATGTACGGAACAACAAAAGAGCTCGCCAATCACAAGTGCATGTTAATTCAGTGAACACCGTATTTTAACCCTTCCAACAGTTTATCAGCCATACAGCCAAGCACGTTTAAAATCTCTTCCTTCCATCCAAAAATTGAAGGAACTCCCGTCTTGATAACTTTAAAACATTTTTTTCCTATCATCCTTGGGTGGAGCAAACAGCTAAGTTTTAGAGAAAGGCTTTTGGCACTAAGCGCTCGGTCCATCTGGCATGAGTTTTCATGCCCACTCCCAGTCAGGGCCACGGTGCTGGCTCTGCAGACAAGAATGACTGTTGCCGCCAGCGGGCTTGCTCTCCAGGGTGTTTCTACCCAGAAAGGTCTAGTGGTCTCCCCTCTGCCCCAGACATCTTGCTCAACTGAATTTTACTTTGGTTGAAGTTTCTCACTAATAGAATTGACTGTCTTTGCCCATCCTTGTATCTGAAGTGACTTATTTACATCTCTGTCTGAGAAGGTATGGACTACCGGTCAATTTCCAGGCTGTGCTCCTACAGCCTCATAAGAAGTCGTCCACCAAACGCTTACGAGAAGTGCTGAACTCCACCTTCAAACACTTGGATCAAGTGGCGGCTGCGAGCATCCTGGATGTAGGTTTGCAAGTGTGCGAAGGTATTTCTGTGATCAACACCCACTCACCGTGTGGGGGATTAGTGTTCACTAATAATTGATGTTGTGACGAACATTTGCTTCGCCAAGTCAACGCAGAACCGCGGAAGGCAGGAGGTGGGTGGTACTGAGCAGTGGGAGGACAAGACAGAAACTAGGGTCAACGGTCAAATGACTACGCGTCCAGGGCAGTGTAATTCACCCGGCTAACGCAGTGCCCTATGTCCATTCCTAGGCATCTGTGGAGATCCCCGGCTTACAGTTTAACCACCAAGACTACTTTCCGTATGTGTACTTCCACATTGACCTCAGCCTCCTCGACTGACCGTCGGCCGCTGCCACCTCTAGGGGGAATACTAAGATGCTGTGTCTTAAGAGAATCATCATCAGACTGTCCTGTGTAATTTAGATTTCCAGAGAAATGGCTCACACAGTTAGGTACAGATGTATTTATTATTACGTTTTGTAAATTACAATAAAGAAATGTTCTCAGTCCTTTGAATTGTCTCCTCACATAATTCTAGCACAATTCAGTGTTTTCTGTTGGAACTTTGAAACGTCTTTGGTTTTATATCAACGTGGACTACCTGTACATTGGGTCACCTGCTGCCATCTCTCACATGTTAAGGAAAATTCAGTGAGGGCTTAGCAAGAACCAGAAAAGCCATGAGACATTATTCCCAGGTCACAGTCACTAGTGTTCCCCCCAAAATACAAACTATCGGGAATGAAATGCAATTCTCAGGTGTCTTCCAGAAACGGCTGACATTTCGAACACGTGTCCCAGTGATGGCACTTCTGTCCCAAGGGTCTTTTACTCCCTTTATGAAAGTTTACAAGGAAGAATGACATCAGGGACACATCATACTACGCCTACGGCTTTACTGGTTAAACTTTAGACACCAGATGTATGATATGGACACTCAATTTCATAAATTTATCAGCATCGTCCAAAATATTGTTTTATTCTTTAATGGAAAAAGCCATTAATATTCAAACGAGGGAATCACATTAAAAAACACATAGGAAACAGCCTCAAAGAACATTCAAGCAGCAGGTAGGGATGGAAACGCTTCAAGAAGCCAGCAGTTTTCTTCCAAATATTACTTGGCAGGATACAATCCAATTCACCGGCTACAACTCATAGAATTTTTCAGTGTTTTCTTGAGATGCAAAAGTTCACTGCTGCAGAGGTCTCAGATGGCCGAGCAACCGCTGCGCCCCTGGGCCATCCATCTGACCCCATAAGAAGGTGTCCTCCCTGCCGGACAGTCCTGCTCCCCAGAAAAGGGAGCCCGGCCTCCCGCTGTGCTCACAGCTCGTCCCTGCCCAGGTCGTCCAGCTCCACGTCGCTCAGGTCGACGTCGTCTTCCACAGGAAGCTGCGGGCGAGCAGAGGGCCAGTGTGAGTGAGGGCAGTGGACGGCGGCCCAGGGGCTCTACCAGCACCACGCGCTCCCTTCAACACCGAGAGCCGTTCCCAGGAGCCTCTACCAAAGCCTCTCGGGAATCTCCTTGGGCAAATGCATGGGTCCACGCTGAATGCTTACTTGAGAGGTGACAGAAACTAAGCACTTGGAAGGCTGTCGGAGTATTTCCCATGACACAGCGGAAGGAGCAAAGGGTCTTGAGATTGCTAATCAAGGCCTATGAGGTTATGCTAATAGCCTGGCATGCTAAGCTCTAAATTTAATAGAAAGGAATTGATTTATAAATAGCAACAATTGTACATTAAAATAAAAATTTAAATCCATAGGGATTTCGAAAGGAAAAATGGATTCCAAAACAAACCTTGGGCACTTGACTCACCTCACCATCCTTGCCATCCCAAGGTTCCGTGGTGCTAATTTTAGGGAAAACCCCGCCACCTACAGGTGCCGTAGATCCGCGTCCGAAAGAAAGCTCCCTGAGGAAAACAGTGGCCAGAACAAGACTGTCAGCTTGCAGTCAATGCAGGGGAGTAAGCAACTCTCACACGAATGATCTCCCCGCAATGTGCACTCCGAGTATTTCTCTTACACTGTCACACAGGGGAACGACCTTCTCAGTAATTCATAGGTCCCATAAAGCCAGTCACTCTCAGTGTGTGTAAAACGAGTCTACCTGGCAGGCTGACATGCATACCAAGTTCACAGCTGTCAACACTGATGGAGAAGCAGGGATAACCAGTACCGACGACGTATTTGATTCGCAAACCCCAGATGAAGGTGAGCGCCAGAGGCTTCCCGAAAGACACCTTCATCTTAAAACTGCGGTCCTTTCAGTTTTCAGTAAGTAGCAAGCATTTGGCGCTTTAAGGAGTACGGACGTAAGCGAACCCAGCAGTCTGAGGCTAGGCCTCCTGCACATACGTGTGTTCAAACAGGTCTGTGAACAGTGCAAGGCTACAAACAGGCTCTCTCGGTGGTAGCTGTTGTAGTCTCCTTAAGGTGCCCTCCCCAAAAAGGGTGGGGGTAGCCAACTTCCTTCCGAGGGGAAACCAGGTCAGCTCAAAGCGAAGGTAGTCATGGCAAGTGAATTTTAAGTCCCCAAAGCAGTCTTGACATTTTCTTCAAGGAGACAGAATGGAGCCATGTGGGTGAGAAAAGGGCGGGCAGCTGAGTCGAGGGATGTCCCTGTGATGCCGACCCACCCGCTCCTTTTCCCAGGGGACGCAGTGGCTACGAGACTTCCCCCAGGAATCTTCCAGCCTGGTCTGGCTCTTTCCGATTCCTGTTCTCAAAACCCAAGGAACACAATTTGAATTCCTTGAGGATATCAAAACAGCTATTGACCTGGCGTAAATCAGAGAATACTGAATTCTCAGGGGAATTGTTAGAGCCGGAAGCACTGTCTTCAGAAGTGTCTAGACCTACTATGTGGAAAATGTGTCAAGAAATGATAGCTTCACGTTTCGACATGTTTACTCTAAGAAGGTATGATTTGGTAGTAGCAGCATGTTTATCATTCCCCTGTACACCGAGCAGTGGCATGTTCTCGACAGGAGAACATTTCACCAGAAACATTTAGGGACGAACACGAGGGTGTGACCAGAGATTTCTTTAAAAGGAGAGTCCCAATATGCTTTGGTGAAGGATAATCTAAATATTGCTGGGGGGAGGAGGGGACCTCGAAAACCCAGTGTATTTAACTTGCCTGTCATGTATGTGATATCGTTATTTCTGCACGTCATTAGGTGCACTCAGCGGAGGGGAACGCCGCCGCCCGGTCTTGGCACGTGCTCACAATTGTGCTGCACTTGAACCACTGTTGCAGCCGCCACGTCAACCCATCCAGTCAAGGTCTCCCTCATCCCCGCTGCCCTCTACCAATCTGTCCTTTTCCAGCTGCTGTGTCTGCTGACGCCACGTCCAGAGTAGGAGACAAGCCTCGCCACCTTTGTTTCTAGGAGCGCTCTGTCTGTACTTCTTCCGAGGCAGACTCATTTGTTCCTTGAGCGGTCCACGGTACTTTCAATATTCTTCACTAGCACCATGATCTTCCTTATTCAGTGTCCATAATGCACATGCACATACGTAACATCCTTGCTTTTCGACATTTTAACAAGGTCCAGTGCCGATTTCCCCAATGCGACCATACACCGTTTGATGCCCTGACTCCCACCATACTGTTTCCATAAGCAATGAGTATAGATCAAGTTCATCATGTTACCTATTGGTCTAGCTGAGTTGTAATCCATGCTGAAGGCTACAATCCTATCTTCATCAGCTCAAGCGCTTCACGTCTTCTTCACCTCCAGCAAGAGAGGTTGTCATCTGCGTACTGTAAGCGCTGTTGAAAGCCCCATGGAGCTTCCTTTGTACCCATTTTTCCCACTAGGTGGGTAACTCTTAGTGCACCCAGTGGCGTTGCCTGGGAAGGTTCTCTATGGTCAAAGCGAATTTTGTCATGAAAGCAGTTTTGTTCAAACCTAGTATTTTTGTGATGGCTGACTTAAGAGAACAGCGAGTGGTTTTGGAATTCTGTTTCCTGCTGGGAAAAATGCCACAGAAACTGTTGTGATGTTGAACTCAGCTTACAAGGACAGCACTAAGGGAAAAACTCAAGTGTATGAGTGGTTTTCTCATTTCAACAAAGATGAAATGTCGATTGATGGCAAACCTCGTTCTGGACGTCCCTCAACTTCCCACACTGACGAAAATTTGGACAAATTTGGTGCACTTGTGCTCGAAGACCAATGATGGACCATTGAAGAGATGGGCACGTTATCAGGGAGCTCGGTGTAGCTAATTTTAACAAGATTTGGGAATAAGAAGGGTCACTGTAAAACGTGTGCTTCAGAGTCTGACTGAGCAGGAACACGAGCGTCATCAAGTGGAAACATGCCGTGCTTTGAAAGAACAACTCCAAAGCAACCCAGACCTTTTTCTCCAAAGTCCCAACTGGTGAGGAGACGCGGTGCGATTCTTATGACCCTGAAAGCAAGCATCAATCAAGCCAGTGGTCATCTCGCCCTAAAAAAGCTCGTCAAGTGAAATAAAAAAAAAAAATCAAGACGATGCTCAATTTTATTTATTTTTTTAATGTGAGGGGGATAGTGTATTTAAAGTTTGATCCACCAGGTCAGACTGTTAATCAAACTTTCTATTTAGAGATTTTGAAAAGATTACTTAACAGTGTGTGTAGCAACAAAGGCCTGATTTGTGGCACCAGGACAATGCACCTGCTCACACAGCCATCTCAGTGAGGCAGTTTTTGGCAAAAAACAGCAAGCCTCTTCTTTCCCCATGCGCCTTACTCACCTGCCCTCGCTCTGTGCGACTTCTTTTTGTTTCTGAGGATGAAGACGGACATGAAAGGGCAGTGATTTGACAGTGATTTAGAAGAGGTAGGGAAAAAAGAGAGAAGTATTGTCAGCCATCCAAACAGATGAGTTTGAAAAATATTTCCAAGAATGGAATTGCAGATTTGAGAAGTGTACTAAATGTAATGCAGAGTACTTTGAAGGGGATAAGGTTGTTTTATAAAATAATTTTAATATATTGCTCTGGGGAAAATATTTGTTTTGGGGTGGGGGGACCCCCTGATAAGCCTTCCTCCAATTCTGGTTCTGCATTCTTCTTCAGTACCACTGGTCCTTACTCTTAAAATGGTTGAATGCCATTGGCTACTTCTTTTGGGTACAGTGACTGTGCATTATTCCCTTCATCCTTTGACGCTTCCTTCATGGTTAGGTTGCACCTGAGTCTTCAATAATGCAACGTAAGGCTCGAGGTTCTTCCTTTGTTCTTTCGGTTTAAGATACGCTGAGAGCGCTCTTTTTGGTTTTTAACTCTACATCTTTACATATTTCATTATATTTTGCTGTTTTCTAAAACTGTCTTGAAATTTTCTGTTCAACTCATTGACTTCATCATTTCCTCCACATGCCTTAGCTACTATGAGATTATGAGTAAGTTTCAGAGTCTCTTCTGAAGACATCACTTTGACCTTTTCTTTCTCTCCTGTCCTTTTAAATGACCTTTTAACCTTCCTCGTGTATGGCTTTATTGAAGTCATCCGCAGCTCATCAGAGTTTCTGTTGTTAGTGGTCAATGTGTCAAATCTGTTCTTAAATCCAGGTGGGATAGATGCAAGGTGATATTCTGGCTCTCGTGGTCTCTTTTTAATTTTCTTCAGTTTCAACCTTAACTTATATATGAGCAATTAACTGATGATCTGGTCTAGTCGGCCCCTGGTCTGGTTTTACCTGCTGATATCCCAGTGCTGAGAATTTACCCATTCGTCCATGAAATATTTACCATTTACTATTTGCCAGGCACTATAGTAAAGAGTCCTGGTTCAAGTAAGCGTGGACTGATAACTCCAAGGTCAGTGGTTCCATCCCACCAGTTGGCTAGAGGAAGACAACGCTGTCTGTTCCTTTGAAGATTTAGTCTGGGAAGCCTGAGACAGAGTTGCCATGTGTTAGAGTACAGTCTCGGAAAGCCTAAGTACAGTTGTTATTGACTCCATGGCAGTGGGTGTGGTTTTGCTTGATTCTTACTAAGAGATAAAGCTCGGTGTCAAACAGGGCCATGGTGTGTGGAGTTTCTCAGAGAAGCACATATATGAGGGCATGCTTGGCTACAAGGGCACACGGTGTGGTAGTTACACGATCTGGTGTCAATTTGGGACTCAGAGTGAGGATTCAGAGTGAAGGGGTGGAGCCTAATCTGTCAATCAGGTCATAGCCAATGGGGCCTCTGTGTGTGCATGGGCTTCCCCCGAGAATCCTGGGAACACCTGTATTACCTCCTTGGAGGTGGGAGGCACTTCTCTTACTCGGCTCTCTCCATGAGACATCCCTGAGAAGCCACATGGAGACCCCTGCCAGCACTGAGATGCTTACAGCACCACCAGACCCAAAGACTTTCTACTCAATGGCCTGTGATCTTCCTGCACTCGGCATCATTGCATGTGTTTCGTGAGTCAGAAGACGACTTTATAGATTGGAATCAAGCATATGAGCTAATGTCAGACTTAGGGAATTGATCTGGATTGGGTTGGCTGTTTTCCCAATATTCAATTACTGTTGCATGTAAAACTCTGTCTTATACATACATACATACATGTGTTTATGGGTTTGTTTCTCTGGTCTATGCACACATGGGATGGAATGGGGGGGGGGCGAGAGCAGGCCAGTGGTGGCGAGGGAAGGCTGTGGGTGCGGTGTAGCAGAGAGTAGGGTGCACAGAGTAAGAGCCTCAAGCGACAAAGGGGCGTCTAGACAAGTTTATGTCTCAACTCTGCAGACACAATCTTCTTCCCTCCCGGCACTGCTGATTCAGCATCAGCAATCATCAGGAGTCACTGAACCGGTTTACCTCAGTTCCATCGAAAAGACCTTTGGGGTGAATCGGAGCAGGAACATTATGGTCAAGACCCTCTCAGAAACCTGAGCCCCCTCTCAGAACAACAAGGTGGTATGTACATTGCCCAGCAATCAAACCTGCTGACTCAACGATGGCATGTGTGCTGCGTCCAGTCCTGGCAGTAATGCTACATCACACCTTATTAGCTCCTGAAAAGGCTCACTGCGCCTCTTCCAAGCCTCCGTAATGTTTCCTGTTCCAGTTAGCATTTTGGATTACCCACGTGGCAAACAATCAGGTCTGTTTGCTTCACTTCATCAGTCATGACTGAACTAGGATGAACTAGCGTGAAGCCCTGGTCTGTGTCCCAGGCACCCAGGTCTTGTGTCTTGTGGTCACAAAGCCACTGATTTGCAAAGCAAGAAATCCCAGGCTTATCAGCTGTCCTTCACCACAACACAAAGCATGACACACTGACACATCTGTGCTCCAGAGCGCCGACCCCCCGCTTTCCTAGGGTCACGACATCCCAGGGTTACTAGCCAGAGAGGAAGCCTGCAGTAGAGACTACAGAAACATCAGCTTCTAGCTTTGTGCCTGACAAAGGCAAATCCAAGATTACTGAATGAGATTTATTTATCTGTACTTAAAATTCTAAATGTTTAGACATTATAAACAACGGTAACTCTAGGACGATTATAAGCTTATGCAATTCCCCACACTTCTTTATAAAAACCACAGCGTTAAGCACATTAACCTACTGATTATTTTTCCCTTCCAGCTTTAGTTGCTATTTTTACTAAATCATTTTTTGGGGGGGCACTTTGAGAACTAAAGCAGACTCGCTATAAAAACCAGACAAATGACTGTTAGAGAGGAAGCTAACAATCACCTAGTTTATTTTAGGTGCAACAGCAGTGTTGTGTTTATGTTCTAAAGTTACCTTTTAGAGAAAGATACGTAATAAGTTATTCACAGATGAAATGGTCTTTACTTTGAAAGGTTGTACTTCATGACCACCGTGGAACATCTCATGACCCAGGTGGATATGGGGGACATTATGCTGAGCGATATTAGCCCCACAAACCAGGGCACACATGACGAGTCCACTGTTATTATCAAGCAAAGCTAAGCGCAAGGGACCCTGTGCAAAGGCAGGCTTTGCTGGGCCCGGGGCGGGAGGAGGAGGAGGTCAGCTCTGCCAGGGACGGCAGCAGCCGATGGAGGGAGGTGCAGGGCAGACTGCCAGGAGGGCTGGTGGACGGGTTGTTCCCGGCGTAACAATGGTGACTGTAATGGATAATGGTCGCATTCTCAAGTAACGAGTTCAAGGGTCTTTTATGACGTTTCTGCTGTTGTTGATATTTGAAATTCTCCATGTCAATATTTTTGAAAACCAAAGAAAAATAAAAACCTTCTTACTTTTAGGTTCCAATTTGTACAAGCTGAACAAGATCATCTAAAATTTAGACTTCGAGGTCATATTTTAAAGGACTTGAAACACTTGCTGATGAAGAGCTGACAACTTCAAGGGAATCCTGTCTTAGGCAAGGTTCTCCAGAGAAGGCAACACAATGAAGCTTATATCTGGAAGGATTTCCAAAGGATGTGTACTCTTCTATGTATACACTCCCCGCCCCCTTGCATCGTTAATGGATCAGGTACACCTTACAATCCATTTGCTCCTAGAACCCGCGCTAACGTGAAGGCTTTTGCTCTGTTCCAGTACTCCAAACCAAGCACACTCACTGCCATCTAGTCGATGCCAACTCACAGCCACCCTAAGGGCAGGGCAGAGCTGCCCCTGTGGGATTCTGGACCATAGCTCTTCGCGGGAGTAGACAGCTTGCAGACAGGCCGGTGGTTTAGTGCTCTGGACCCTGCGGATCACAGCCCAATCCGTGACCACGGTGCTGCTGGGGCTCCTTGTGCCACCACCACACTAAGCTGTTTGCCCGGACGGACGACTGCTGTCAGTCCTCCACGCGGTCCCAAAGGAGGTGCTGTTATTGGTTCCTCGACAATCAGGCGACTGAGGCACAGAGCAGCTTTGTAACTTGCCCAAAGCCAAGCAGCTATCCTCTCAGCCAGTCTGCCATGCCTTCTGTTTGGCTCAAGGTCAGTTTGGATCTGCAGCAGCTTCGTCCATGCCAACTTCTTGCGCACGTGTAGGATGGCCCAGAACAAGGCTGTCATCTCTACAAAAGCAGACTGCTGCAGCCTCCTCCGCGGGGCTGGGAGTGTGAACCACCAACTGTCAGTGAGTAGCCAGGTACTCAGCCACGGCGCCACCAGCTCCTTAAGGATCAGCTACCCATTTGGCAAAACTGAGATGTGACCCTTGAGTGTCTCACTCCAGGGGCCAAGAGTACTGTCCCCAAGCCTCTGGGGACGTAAAATGTTATGGCTGGAGGAAGCTGCATACAGACTTTCCAAAACATCTTAATACTCATCACTCTTCGTCAATGCTCTGCACGCCCTTGTGTGCTTGATCACTTTCATAAAGAGTTGACCAACGGACAAGGAAGAAAGGTGAACGAAAACCCACAACTCGTTAGGCTCGGTGCTTTGTACATCTAAAAGGCACCAGCGGTTTCTAGAAGGAGTCAAATCAATATAAGGCCCTTATAGAGACCTCTATAAAGAGGTTTTTGAATTAAGAACTTAACATGTTGGCAGACCATCATTGGAGTCATTTAAGTAAACATACCATTTTCATATAACTACATCTCACAGTCATGTGCCCAGAAATTGCTTAAAGGCATGTGTGCAGAGCATGGCAAGGAAGAAAGGTCCAGGCAGGGCTGGCACTGGTGGGCAAGAACTTTACAGCACCCGCCTCTGTAGCAGGGCCCTTGCCAGGCACACAGCGAGCATCCCGAGGGTAGGGAAGTACGAACATCACCTCCACTGGAAAGCGGACAAAGCAATGAAAGATGACCTAAACGCTGTAATGTGAAATGACTGCATCCCGTTTGTGGCCCAGTCTACAGCAATCTCGTTTTAAATTAAAAAGTGCAACAGAACCAAGCAGGCCAAAGAAAACCATCCCCACCCAAGAAAAGGAAAGAAAAATGAACAACTCAAGAAATTACCTGAGAAATTCATTGATGCCCTGCTCGCTGAAAGACCCTTTCAGAAGAGCAAACTTCATCTTGCGTGCGTTGATGGCTGCCATTGCCGGATAGCCAAAGCCCCCAATTCCCAAGGCGTTCTCAAGCTCACCCTGGGCACCAGCTTCTGCCCACAGCCACCTAAGAAAACACAGTGGGTTTTTCAGGACAAAGGTCCCTTTGGAACATTAGAATCTAGTGGGCTGTGATTACAGAAAAAAGATTACACTTCAAATGTTTTGTAGGAGGAAATGGGTATATAAGTAAATCAGGAATAAATGATGCGTTTTAAAAAAATGGCTCCTTATGTGTTTTTAAGGAACTAATGGTTCCTACCCTTTGGTCGCCTAATCCCTAAAGTAAACCTGCCGGGTGCTAAGCTAACAGGAGTTCAGACTCTCTCGAGAAGCCTCCACAACAAATGGGTCTGTTTTCAGTTGTATGCGATTCAAAAACCTGGCTGGTTAGTTAAAAACATGTTCCTCCAGCTTTCTTCAAGCATCTCCTCTAAGACTCCAGACTTACTAAAGCCTCTGAGGCGAGAGAGCAATTCTACAGCCTCCCTAAAATCCATCTGCTGGGTGTTACGTGAACTCAACTGTGACACTGAGGTCTAAAAAAGTCTAACAGCTTACCCCCACATTTTCTTTTTGTATTTCTCTGCCAACTTCAGAAGAACGTCCAAATAAGAATTTCTGCCAGAAGCCCCTAATTTAAAAGACCAAAAAAAAAAGACGGTAAGAATAAAGCAGTCCGTAAAATCATTTAGCACGTTCTAAGAACAGGACGGCCGCTCATCTTACCAGTGTCGAGAATATGGGGCAGCACGGCCACCACGCAGAGCTGGTGATCCTCACACGTCTTCTTGGCAACGTCCTCGCTGGTGATCTGGGGACGCAGAGACAAGCACGGCTGTAAGTGCTGAGGGAGGACGGGACCAGACCCGAGCAAAACCGGACAGCCTCGACAGAGACGGTCATGTGGTGTTGAAAATGATCATGACGACGTAAACATCAAATCACGGTTAGTTTCACAAAAACAACACTCCGTCTTTGACCTGAAGACGTCTTTCTAAGACATCTACTGGGGAGTGGGGAGACATTCGCAGACGCTGTGCACTGACTTCCTCTATGGAGCCTGTCGCTTTCCTGGTCCTTGGAAACCAGGTGGAGTATCTCCCTAAGCTTAGGCGTTGCTACTTCTGTCCGAGTCCTTTGAAGGAGCAATGCGGTGTGTTCAGAGGCCCCTGGGCTGACAGTGACCAGGGTGAAGGTCCTTGGGCACTGACTGCCCTCCCTAGGCTTGGTTTAAAAAAAAAAAAAAAAAAAAAGAGCTGCTGCCCAAGACCTGTGCTGGCAGAGCAGCAGAGCCCACGTGGGGGCAGAGTCCTGCTCCCCGGACAATGAGCTGGGCCTGTTTGGGGCCGAAGCCGACTGCAGGGGTGCTGGCGCACTGAGAGCTGAGCAAGGGGCAGCACGGCTTGGAGATGGACGGCAGTCAGTCAGGGCCTGCCTGACACAGCAGCCAGTTGGCCGGCAGAGAAGCAGCACTGCTGCCATTGGAGGAGGTTGGTGGCCGCGCACAAACCAGTTAGGAGAGCTCACGCGCCCCGAGATCTGCCCGCGCCAGGAGCTGTCCTGCAGGAAGCCAAGATGTGCTCCCCACTTTGGGCACCCTTGGAGGCCTTACCTAGGTCCTTCTAGACCAGTGGTTCTCAACCTTCCTCATGCCACGACCCTTTAATGCAGTTCCTCATGTTCTGGTGACCCCCCCAACCAGAAAATTATTTTTGTTGCTACTTCATCACCGTAATTTTGCTACTGTTATGAATTGGGTGACCCAGTGAAAGGGTCATTCGACCCCCAAAGGGGTCAAAACCCACAGGTTGAGAATGCTGTTCTAGACACTCAATCTCAAAATGTTCTCATTACTTCCAAATGGATCCTGAGCCCGAGTGTTGCCTGCAACTTCCTGAAGTGTGGATCCAGAAGCAGTTGTGTGAACAGAACAAGGGTGTACTGCACGGTTTAAAGTCAGGAAAGGTGTGTGTCAGTCCTCAATCTGTACACTGAGCAAATAATCCGGTAGGGAAGAGTATCTGAAGCACGTGGCATCAGGATTGAAGGGTGGCTTAACAACCTGTGACGTGCAGATGACACAACCCTGCTTGCTGAAAGCCAGGACTTGAAACGCTTGCTGATGAAGATCAAGGACCGCAGCCTTCAGTGTGGATGCCAACTCAATGGACAGACCAGAATCCTCACCAAGGGACCAACAGGCAACATCACGATAAACGGAGAAAAGAGTGAAGTTGTCAAGGATTTCATCGTGCTTAGATCCACAATCAATGCTCATGGCAGTAGCAGTCAAGAGAGCAAACAATTGATTGTCCTGGACAAATCTGCGGCAAGAGACCCCTTTAAAGTGTTGAAAGGCAAGGATGTCACTTTGAGGACTAAGGTGCACCTGACCGGAGCCAAGGTATTTTCCATTGCCTCGTGTGTGTGTGTGTGTGTAAGTTGTACACCAAATAAGGGAGACTGAAGAGGAATTGATGTACTTGAACTGTGGTGTGCTGAAGAACACTGAAAGGACCATACAGTGATAAAAGAACAAACAAATCTTCTTGAAGAAATACAGCCGGACGTTCCTTCAAAATGAGGACGGTGAGACTTGGTCATGTTGCCCAGAGACCAGTCCCTGAGAACACATCATGCTTGGTAATGTGGAGGTCCAGCAAAACGGAAGCCCCCTCACCCTCGGATTGACAGAGTGGATTGGAAACTGGGCTCAAACATCAGACCAGGTGAGGCTCAGGCCGGCGATGTTCCACTCTGCTGCACAGCTGCTCCCCACATACAGGACATCACTGTGAGTGCGGCCACTGTAACCGACCATGGTGCCCAACAACCAGACCAGCGACACAGCTGACTGTCCCTTGCAGGAACCGGGTCTGGGTGGATCCTCGCTCTGGGCCTTCATGAATCGGTACAGTTCCGTTTGCTCACTTAGAGGATCTACACAGAACCCTGAAACCGGGGGCTGGCGCTCCTCTTCTCAGGGCTCGGCCACTCACTCTTGTCATGCACTCGAGAAAATTACTTCAGCAAGCGCTCTGTGCCTCAGTTTCTCGAAGGGATGAAAGTGGCATCTACAGTTTTCCACGTAAATAAGTAAACTATAGAAGCAACAAAAACGAGATGTGTCTACACTTAACAAGCACGTTATTTTGAGGACGGCACGTGGAGAGAATGACTAGACACTCTGTTTTTATGAGGACGGCACACAAGAGTCCTGGTAGCACAGTGGGTTAAGCACTCAGCTGCTCAACACAGGCCAATCATCACAATCCACCACTTACTCAGGAGCAGACAGACGAGGCCGTCTTGCCCCCTGCAGCTTCGTTTCAAACACCTGTGCAGCGGTTCGACTCTGGGCGGTGCCGAAGAGGACTCGCTCAGGTCAAGAGCCGCACGGAAGGTTGCAGAGGGTGGTCTGGGAACGAAGCAGATCAACACCCGGACTCAGAGCACCACACGGGAAAACACGCCTGGCGTCTCCAGAGCGGCCAGACGGGAATACTGAAGGAGCAGAGGACACAGCACCCAACAACGCAGGGCGCACAAGACGGCGCAGGGAAACACGTGCGGTGTGCCCAAAGACCCGGTTACTACCGAACCCCTTCAGACGGAGCGCCTGAGCAAGAGCCGAGGACGCGGACGCAAGACGTCCAGGCTGTACTTATGCACTGTCCAAAGAATGGAAGTATGTCAACAAACAAATGCAACTCAGTCTACCTGGCCAACTGACTGAGACATCAATACTGTGCCCATTGCAAAGAATGGTGGCAAAAAAATGAGGAAGTGATCAAACAGTATCTTTACCATCACTTGCAAGTACCATATATACTCGAGTATAAGCCAAGTTTCCCAGCACATTTTTAATGTGGTTTTTGTAGTCAAATTAGGTGCCTCAAGCTGATATTTGGGTCGGCTTATACTCGAGTGTATACAGTAAGTAATACAGATTACAAACAAGATAATAGATGAAAGAAACCAAACCAAACCAGCGGCAGCAGCTTTATCATAGGGAGCATCAGAAGTACAAGCGGGGCTCAGGGGAGAGCTGGGCACTGCGAGTGTCAGACAGCTGGCCCTTGGTAGAATGCAGGAATAGCAGAAAGACATTGAACCCATGTCCTGTTCATGATGCAAAGGAATGAACTGTGTTTCCACAACAAACAATAGGACTTGCAGAGCTTCCTTGTGCTCCTGTGGAGCCTGCACCCAGGCTGAGGCAGCTGTTCAGAAAGAGCAAGACCTTGTGTGGCTTGCCATCGAGAAAGGCATGTGGCAGGGCTGTGTCCTTTCACCACCCTGTTCTGTCTGTGTGCCGAGCAGATGCCCCGAGCAGCTGACGACCTGCGGAGTACAGGGCATCAGGGTTGGAGGCTCATGCAGCAACAGCCTGCCATATGCAGACGACACAGCCCTGCTTGCTGAAAGCAAAGAAGACTGGAGGCCCTAACAGATAAGGATGAAAGACCAGACCCTTTAGTGTAGATTGTAATTCAATGTAAGGAAAAAACCCCACAAAGACGCAAAATCAGACCAGGAAGCAACATCATGAGAAACAGAGAAAATACTGAAGTTGTCAAGGCTTTAGCCTTATATGAATCCACAATCACACTGGAAGCAGCAGTCAAGGAATCAACCACACATCACATTAAGCAAACGTGCTGAGAAAGGTCTGTTCAAAACACATCAAAAAAGCAAAGGAGCCTGTCATCTTGGGGACTAAAGTGTGCCTGACCCACGTCATGGTATTTTCAACCGCTTCACATATGCATGTAAAACCTGGAAATGAATTGAAAAAACACAACAGTCTAACTGATGCGTTTCAGTTATGGTATTGATAAAGACTATTGAAAAGTACCACTGGCATCAGAACGAACAAATCTCTTGGGAGAAAGAAAGCCAGGAACAGAAATGCTCCTGAGAAGATGGAGTGTCTCTCACGTACTTTGGACACCGTGTCAGGACAGCAGACCCCATGAGGTCAGGGGAAAGAGGAGACCCCCAGGCAAGGAGGAGACCGACACGGGCCACACCATGGGCTCCAGCACAGCCAGGACTGTGCAGACGGCACAGGAGGAGGCAAGGGGTCGCCTGTGCTGAACCGACTGACGTCACCCAGAACGGCCGGCTCGCTTTCACTCCCAGGGCAGTGATCTCGGCGCTGCCAGCCAGGACCAGAGCAGTCCCTCACCCCGTCCCAGCCCACAACCAGGTCAGGAGAGCTTTCCTGCTTTACCTCAAGCAGCTCAGGAGGCGGGGCGTTATCAGAAAACAAATCTAAGGCTCGAGAAACGATGTTGGATTTTGTGCGACCGCCATCATAATCCACAGGAGACTCGCCTTTCTGAAAAATTTTGATTGTAGGGAATCCCCTGATCTGTTGAAATAAATAAAAGATGTTACCATTTAATACAATAAAATATTGTTCCTCAGTCCACCTTCTGGGCAACTTCACACAACCTTCGCAGTTTGCATCAATGCCAAAGGGTAACACCAAGAGGCAGTGTCAAGTAAGGAGCCTTTGTGAGGCTGAGGTTGAACCAAATCTGATCCAAGCCCGAGGTCTACAGCGCATACAATCTACCTGTTCTGGAACAAATGGACGGATTTGGTGACAGCCCTATAGAAATTCAGTAAAAGCTGGGGCCAGCTGGACTCCATGACACATACAGTGGAAGTAGTGAATTCAAAACAAAACACAGTCCTCAGTTCCAGACGTCATAGCGCTGACAACAGTGCCTTCAGCTGAACCCTACTGCCCGAGGTATCGAATGCACGAACAGAAACTCCCTGCCTCACAGGGAGGCCTGAAATGCCAAGCACTGCTTCACTGACTGCACAGGGGGGTGTTACTGACCTGATGTCACCTTAGAAAGATACTGCACTTTTACAAAGAAACAAGTCTTATACAGATACTCACCGCGTACCGGTTGGCTAGCATCTGATTAGCTGTAGCATCTACAGCTGCTAGTTTCACTTTGCCTTTTGTTTGCTCTTTGACTTCCGATGCGGCGGCAGCCCATTCAGGCTCCAGGCTATAGAAAGAATGTGAATGTTAAACGTGCATTTCGACTCATAGCTCACATTCTTCAGCTCGTTTGTACGGTTTCTGTCAAATCCAGATTACATCATACCCGCAACGCGTGTCGCATGTGGCCTTACAGACTTCCGATGCTCCCCTTCACACCCAATCTCCCCACATCTGGACAACACTCACTCCCTTGCTAATTTTTTTCACGTACGGCATAAGTACTCTACACACTAGTGCCAAGGTTTAACTTAAGAGCCAGTTTTTCAGGGAGAGACCTTAGGACAGTGGTTTTCAACCTTCCTAATGCCACGACCCTTTCATACAGTTCCTCCGTGGTGGTGACCCCCAACCATAACATTATTTTCATTGAGACTTCATCATTGTCATTTTGCTACTGTCATGAATCAGGCGACCCCTGTGAAAGGGTCATTCGACCCCCAGGTTGAGAACCAGGGTTGTCTGTTATCCAAGTGAACATAGTGCCGGGACCTGCAAGATGACCGGGCTGTGACGGCACTTACTTTTTACAGTGTCCACACCACGGAGCGTAGAACTCAACCATCCAGACGTCGTCACTATCAAGGACGCTCTTATCGAACGTGTCGTCTGTCAGCTCAATCACGTCTTTCTTACTGGAACTTTCACTCCTGCCCTGTCACGGAAGTACACGAGAACCCTCCATCGCAACGCGGCCCAGACAAAACAGCGGTATCCCACTTACACAGGAGCGCAACCAGAAAGCATGGATCATTTCTACACCTTAAAGAAGTTTTGGAAGTTTCTTCAAGTAAAAACCTGAGGACATTTCTTATGTTTGCATGCTACACAGTCTAAAACTTCCATCAAGACCAATACATACAATGCAGCATAGATCTGTACCTGAATTCTAACAACTGCTACTTTTAAAAAAAATACGTTTACTAGGGGCTCTTACATCTCTTATCATAATCCATACATTCATCCAGTGTGTTAAGCACATTTGCACATATGCCACCATCATCTTCAAAGCATTCCTTTCCCACTTTAGCCCCTGAAATCAGCTCCCCATTTCTTTTCCCTCCCTCCCTCCCCCCACTCTCCCTCAAAACCCTTGATAAATTATAGATTATTATTTCCAAATCTCACATCATCCTTGGTCGCCCCTCACCTACTTTCCGTTATTCATTCCCCTGAAAGGGGGTTATAGATTGATCCTTGTGATCGATTCGCCCTTTCTACCCCCACCCTCCCCTAATCCTCCTGGTATCTCTACTCTTATTGTTAGTCCTGAGGGGTTTATCTGTCCTCGATCCCCTGTGCTTCCAGCTCTTATCTGTAGCAGTGCATGCTCTGGTCTAATCCGATTTGTAAGGTACAATTTAGGTCATGATAGTGGGGGGAAGGAAGCACCTAAGAGCTAGAGGAAAGTTGTGTTTCGTCGGTGCTCTACTGCACCCTGACTAGCACCTCTTCCCTGTGACCCCTCTGTGAGGGGGTGTCCAATTGTCTACAGAGGGGCATTGGGTCTCCACTCCATGTTCCCTCCCACCCCCAAATTCAACTTGGGTATGGTTTTGTTCTAGGTTTTAGATGCCTGGTACCTAATCCCAACACCTCATGATCACACAGGCTGGTGTGCTTCTTCCATGTGGGCTTTGTTGCTTCTGAGCTAGATGGCCGCTTGTTTATCTTCAGGCCTTTAAGACCTTTTGATAGCTGGGTACCATCAGCTTTCTTCACCACTTTTGCTTATGCATCCATTTTGTCAGTGGCTTTCTTTTTGTTGTTATTTTGTTTTTGGTTTTTGTTATTTTAATTGCGTATCCCTCCCCCACCCTCCAGAACCACTGGTCCATTCTTTTCATCTCTGAATTATTTATCCCGCCTATCTTATCTAGATAGACATGCAGATACATTAGTAAGTGCAAAAACCAGGCAAAGCCAAACAAAACAATAAAGGAAGTCAAGACCACCAATAACAACAAATTAACAATAACAAAAAGAAAGCCACTGACAAAAATGGAAAAGCCTATAAACAGTTCAAGGTGTTTGTTGGTCTTTACATGTGTTTTCCAGTCGAGTCTGATGGGGTGCCACACTGTCTCCCAAGTCTATTTTTGGTATTCCCCTGGGGGTTTCATCACTCTGCTCTCCCTGCTGCTCGCCCCCAGCATGATGGAGCCAGACCATGCACAATTCCTGCACTGTGTCTCCAGTGCTGTCCTCCAGAGCCCCACGGTTCGGTGAGGGATGCCATGTGCTGTGGTGGGGCCAGCCCTAAGCCCTCCCCATGGGTTGTCTGCTCCGAGCAGGAACATGGTCCTCAGGGCTGGGTGAACCAGGATGTCCTCTCCTCCCTCTCCATCCTTTTTCCTTTCTCCCGTGTGCACTAATCCAACGTGTCCCTCTCCCCAAGCAGTAGCCCCAGTACTGTCCCCTGAAGTACATTCTTCGGAGGGTTAGAGGGGGGTCTCCACATAGTTGGGATTGGGGCCGTCCCCGAAGACCTCTCTATTGGGTTCCTGATCACCTGCTACTTTTAAGAGAAAACATAATGTAGCATAATGAACTACCTCTATAAAACTATTTCACATCCAAAAACTGTGACTGCTTTATCCCAGGGTGTTATACCTAATGGCAATTACTGTCTTTTCATAAATAAAGGCCCTAAAGTTCAAGAAAGATAAAAATAACATTTAATCCCTCCCTTCTCACCCCAACCCCAAAGAATTTCCTCCAGTACTGAATCTAAAAAGCAGACAGTGTTATGTTGTTTTCTGCTGCCTGGGCGAAAACCACGGGGATATTTAAAGACAGACAACTGTGCTCATTAAATGCCTAAATGTTGGATGAGTTCTAGATCTACAGAAAGAAGCTAGATCTATATAAAGAGCGACGATCTCACACACACACACACACACACACAGAAAAAATGTAAGGACTTTCACAATTTATGGTTAAGCAATACATTTCCTACAAAAGCATCTAAAATACTTAGTCGTGGGACCCTAATTTCTTTTATTGTCCTGTTTTTCCCTGCTCAATGTATGTGGAATTTTCTATGGATTTAGAGCCAATTATCAGATACAGATAAGCCAAAAAATTACCCAAATTTCAAAATTTCATCTCTGTTTGGCCTGATTCTAGGTCCATAACTTCAGAGTCCAAATACTTCTATTGGACTTAGGAAACCTATTTGGGGGCTTGGTTCCTGGCCTGTAGTTATAACAAACTATCCCGGACCGATCAGCTCTGGCAGTGCCGACTCAGATGCCCTCTGGGGTCCATTTTAACAGAAAGCACACCAATGTAAAGGATTAAGAAATGAAACCGATCACCCACCGGGGCCCACACTGACTTCCAAAGTGTCCCAGGAGACAATCAGCCTTACTTGTTTCCCACCGCCCCTTCCCCCGAGGCGGTCCTTGGTGAGCTGTCTCGCGGCACTGAGCGCGGCATCCACGATGGCTTCCGCAGTCCTGCCACCTACAGGAGACAGGGGCTGTCAGGTGCTGGTGACGGTGGGAGGCCCGAGTCCTCATCCCTCCCGTCTGCACACACACCTGACATTCACATCTGCAGGCCCACACCTGTACAGTTATGCCAACTTCTCCTATGTTCAGCACCTCTGACTCACAACGCCTGTGTTTAAGCTATAGCACACTTGCTCCCCAAATGCACTTCACACTTGGAAACAAATTCTTCTTCAGATGTTATTTTTGTGAACTGGTAAATACCACCAACTAATGAGGAAAATGAGTCCCAGAGCACACATGGAGTCACTGCAGACCTTCGGATCAAGGGAGTGGCATAGTGGTTCAAGTATTTTAGAAAGACCAAAGGCTACAGTATTGTGTGGCTTTGAGGCTAAAAAAAAAAAGATGTGAATTTCAATAGGAGGAAGACTTTAGAGGGACAGATGGTCCAGGTGAGTCACTAAAGATGCTAGCAACGTTGCATTGTGTCTGTCATTCTGGGAAGCTGGGCAGGAGGCTGTGTGGCAGCGGCTCTGCAGGCTGAGCCGCCATCCTCCGAAGCTCAGTGAGACGGCAGGACTGGCAGCAGGTTGCTCTTCACCACACTTCTACAGCACGGTGTTCAGTCTCGATCCTGGAAGATTCACCACACTTCTACAGCACGGTGTT